CACGTGGCTTTTGGGGGACATTCCAAACAGTGAATGTTTGGAATACCAGGAGGAAATGAAAGAGCCAAAGGAACACAAGCTGTATTTGAAGCAATAATGACTTAAAATTTTCCCAAATTAAAGTCAGACACCAAGTCACAAGTCTAGGAAGCTCAGAAAACCCCAAGCAGGGTAAATTCCCCCCACCAAAATAAAATAAAATAAAATAAAGTATATAACATTTAAACTTCATTAAATCAAAGACAAAGAAAAAGCCTTGAAAGAAGCTAGAGGAATATTTTTTTCATTATAAAAATTTATCAAAGTGATCAATTGAGTTTCAGAGGTTTGGTTTAGCAAGGTAAAAGACTAAAAACAAAACAACAACAATAAAAATAATTAAAATCATGTAAATTCATTTTCAACCTTCCAAGTAGAACCTAAGTTAAATAAATCCTCTGCTATTGTGAAGCGAGAGGAATATTATACCTTACCTATAGAGAAGCATATATAAGACTCCCACTCAACTTCTCAGAAACATGCAAGAAAGAAGAGTGAAGTGAAATATTTAAAGTTTTGAGAGAAACTTTAAATATTGAGTAAAAAAATCAACCTGGAATTCTGTACCCTAAAATTTTTTCTCCAAAAGTGAAGAGAAAGAAAGACTTTCTCATACAAATAAAAATTGAAGGAATCTGTTGCCAGTAGATCTGCTTTGCAAGAAACTGTAAAAGAAGTTATGCAGAGAGGGGGCAAATTATGTAGATCAGAAAGTCAAATATACATGAAGAAAAGGAGAGAATCAAAGAATGAATAAGTGAAGATAAAACTTTAAAAATATTGTAAGGTTAAAATCCTAAAGTCAATCACTCTTCTATCTATGAACAAACACATAGAATTTGAGATTAAAGTCACATTACATTTATATTAGCATGCCACAAAATGAAACACTTAGGTAGAAATCTCAAAAAAAATATTAAAAGATCTATATAAGGAAAACCACAAAACGAATGATATAAAAAAATTAATAAAATAGAGAAGTATTTCATGTTCATGAATAAAAAGGCTCAATATTGTTAAGATGACAGTTTTTTTCCACCTTGATCTGAATTGAATGTAATCCCTCTCAAAATTTGAGCAAATTACTAGTCTAAAGTTTATATGGAGAGGCAAAAGTTCTAGAATAGCCAATTTAATATTGAAGAACAAAGTAGAAAGATGATGCTACCTGACTTTAAGACTTATAAACATAGTCATTAAGGCAGTACAGTATGGGGGAAAGAACAATCAAGTAAATCAAGGGAATAGAATAACTTAGAAATAGACCCACATAAACATATTCAATTGATCTTTGACAAAGGAACAAACGCAATATAACGAAGTAAAGATAATCTTGTAAAGTAAATGATACTGGAACAAATGAACACACAGAACTTACACCCATCACAAAAAAAAAAGGAATTCAAAATGAATCACAGACCCAAATGTAAAATGCAGAACATAAAATTCCTTGAAGATGACATACAAGAAAACCTGGATGACCTTGGGCATGACAATGACGTTTTAGATAGAACACCAAAGGCACAATCCTGAAATAAATAATTAATAAGTTGGATTTCACTACAATTAAAAAACTTATACAACTTCTACTCTGTGAAAGGCTCTGTCAAGAGAATGAGAGGACAAGCCAAAGACTGGAAGAAAATATTTGCAAAAGGCAGATCTGATAAAGAACTGTTATATAAAATATGCAAAGAACTCTGAGAACTCTATAAGAAAATCAACAACCCAATTAAAAATGGGCAAAAGGCCTGAACACCTTGCCAAAGTAGATATACGGATGGCACATAAGCATATGGACAGGTTTTCAACTTCATTTGTCAGTAGGGAATTGCAAATTAAAACAACAGTAAGATACCACTCTACACCTATTATGGTGGCCAAAAGCCAAAACACTGACAGCATGAAATGCTGATGAGGATGTGAACAACAGGAACCACCATTCACTGCTGGTGGAAATGCAAAATACTACAGCCACTTTGGGAGACAGTTTGGCAGTTTCTTAAAAACCTAAACATTCTTACCACATGATCCAGCACTTGTGCTCCGTGGTGTTTATCCAAGTGAATTAAAATTTATGACCGTATAAAAACTTGCACAGTGATATTTGTGGCAGCTTTATTCATATTTGCCCAAACTTGGAAGCAACCAAAATGTCTTTTAATAGGTAGGTTGATAAACTGTGGTACATTCAGACAGTGAGATATTATTTAGTGCTAAAAAGAAATGAGCCATTAATTCATGAAAATATGTAGAGGAAACTTAAATGCATATGACTAGGTGAAAGAAGCCAATCTTTTGGCAAAAGCTTCATACTGTATAATTCCCACTCTATGACCTTCTGGAAAAGGCAAAACTATGAAGATAATAAAAAGATGAATGGTTGACAGGGGTTGGTGGGAGAGAGGGATGAATAGGCAGAGCACAGAAGATTTTTAGGGCAATGAAACTAAACTGCATGATACAGCAATGAAGATATGTTTTCATTGTGCATTTATCAAAACCCATAGAATATGCAACACCAAGAGTGAAGCCTAATGTGGACCATGGTCTTTGGGTGATATGATGTGCCTATGTAAGAAATGTGCCACTGTTGTGGGTTGTTGATAGTAAGAAAGATTTCGCATATGCAGAAAAGGGATACAAGGAGTTTTGCTGTACTCAGCTCAATTTTTTTGTGAACCTAAAACTGTTCAAAAATAAATTTATTATTTTTTAAAAAGTCATAATTCGGACAAGTGTAATTGGATCCCTATTCCGTCTTATTAAAAAAAATAAACTCCAAATCGATTGAAAACCTAAATGCAAAGGTAAAATTATAAACCTAATGGAAGAAGATATTGGAGCATACCTTCGTGATCTTAGGGTTGTATTTTGTTTGTTTGTTTTTAAAGCAAGATCACAAAAGGGAAAGCCATGGGAGACATTGATGAAATTGACTAGGTAAAAGTTGTTTTTGGTAAATGACATATTCCAAAGGTAAACCTCTGGGTAACAGATAGGAGAAGATATTTATTAATGATGAGGTGTTCACATTAGAAAATACTAAAAATCAGCAAGAAAAGGATAGGAAATGTACTGACAAAGATTCTGAGTAGGTAATTCACAGAAGGGAAAACTTGATACATTTATGAAAAGATGCCCAAATTTTCTAGTATTGAGTTAAAACAAGAAGATGTTACATTATAACTGTGAAACCAGAAACCATTAGAAAGTTCAGTAATAACAAGTACTGATGAGGATATAGGGAAACTGGGAATGCTTGTGCATATTTGATGAAATAAAAGTTAGGAATAACCATTCTGAGGAACAATCTGTTAGTACCTGGTTAAATTAATATAACTATGCCCATAATTTAACAACTCAGCAATCCCATCTCACGTTTTCTATTGTTGAAAAACCAGGATCACAGGTACAACAGCATGAGATTTTCCAATGCAGCAATTTGTGGAGGCAAAGAGCTAGAAGTCAGAGAAGTGCCCCTCACTAGGAGAATGAATTGGCAAAATGTGTTGTATGCATAGTAAGGGACAGTAGGCAGCATTTGGAAGCAACGGATTATATTCACATATAGTAACACTGACATAGCTCAAACACACAAAGCCGAGTGAAAGAAACATTAAAACAAAGAACTCTATAATTTCAAGTGTGCATATCCATGCACAGAGAAACACTCAGAACGACATTAATTCAATACTTAGAAGTAGGTACTAAATAGAGGAGGGAAATGAAATTAGCATAAGACTATAATGGAAGATTGCCTTTCTTTGTCCAGGAATAAAATTATATAATGAATTAAGGAGTTCAAGTGACTTAATTCTATTGCTGACTATCTTATAAAGAAAAGGAATTTTTAAAAACAGAATAAATACAACACCAATGTACAATGTACAATAATCTTTCCAGATCATATTTTAAAATTAAATGTGTAATTCAGATAAAGCACTTAACTTAGTGCCCAACACATGCTAAACACACAATAAATGACATCTATTAATGCTATTAACAGTATTCATGACATAGCTTCAACCAACCAATTAAAGCTGGCACTTGAAACCAATTGGATGTAGGCGGCTTCCCCCCAAAGATCAGTATATACTAAACCATTATATATTAGAGGGGTGGGCAAGTACCAGGGAGACCCAACTGCAAGCAGGCAGAAGAGTTGAAACAGCCTGAAGAAATGAGAAAGGCTACGGTCGTATTTGTAGTATCCTAGGAAATCGTGATGATACATTTGGGAGAAGGATGATTATACACAGAACGCATAAATAAAGTAGAAACTACACAACTTTGAACAACTTTGAATCTGGGAGAGTATGTATTTTGCTGTATTTCCTCCAAAAAGTTATTTTTCTTTTAATATTTTAAGTGGCAAAACTATAGCTGAATAACAAAGAACAACTATATAGTGTTTTATTTGGATTATTTCTTCCTGTTCCTTCTCTGAGTGGGACATAGGTTCTCTAGTGAAACAAGCAAGATCATCACCTAGTGGTCAGTTCCTCAAAGTGCTTACACAAGGTCTGGTCTCTGAGAGTTTAGATGTGCCTGTGCTTGGCTTGGTGTTAATTCAGTAAGCATTGACTGGGACTCTGTGCTAGGCACTATTCTGGTGGTGGGATAACACAAAATGACAGGTTTCAAAATAAATTATGGGCTGAGTGCATGGCACACACCTGTAATCCTAGTGGCTCAGGAGGCTGAGCAGGAGGATGGCGAGTTCAAAACCAGCCTTAGCAAAAGCAAGGCACTAAGCAACTTAGTGAGACCCTGTCTCTAAATAAAATACAAAATAGGGCGGGGTATGTGGCTCAGTGGTCAAGTGCACCTGAGTTCAATCCCCAATTCACAATAAAAATAAAATAAATAAATTATGGAGGTATCACTATGGAAACTAAGGAGTCCAGCCTAAGTAATAATGTGTTTTAATATGTTTATTTTCCAATGGTTTTTTGTAGATCATAGATGAAGAAGAAACCCAATTTATGAGTAACTGCCCAGTTGCAGTCACCGAAAGCACCCCACGGAGGAGGACACGAATCCAGGTGTTTTGGATAGCACCACCAGCAGGAACAGGCTGTGTGATTCTAAAGTAAGTAAACACAGACTCCTTATGGTACTCCATACTCCTTTCCTTGGTCTCTCCAGGCTTACTGGTGTGTTTTCAGAAAGAGATGTTGCTTTACTAGGGCATTGGGCAAGGTGCATCATCTCTCCACCTTCTCGTATCTCCATACCAAAATGGCAGCCTAGGCCATCATTGGTGAAGTGATACATAATGATCCATTTGCCTGAATCTGTTTTCATCCTATTTTATCCAATAGGATGATTCTCCTGGCCATTCTCTATCTTGCTAGAGGTGTAATGCTACTTAGGGTTGGTTAGGAAAAATAACCACCCAGGTGAAGATAATCTTTGATTTCTCCATGTGGAATTAGCACTTTTTCTTTTTTTTAGAAATCCTAACAACTAGAATCCTTAAATTGTGCTTAGGTTAACCTCCTTTAGCCCCCAGCTCCACTTTGTATTATCTTCTTTCTTATCCATCAAAATTCCCCTCTACTGCCACCTCCCTTCTGGCCTCCTAATCCTCCTCTTGGTGAGTTACATTAGATGATAAGAGGTATTGACCAGCCCACATCACTTTATTCTGAAAGGTAGCATTGTCCCAAACCAGTGTCTCCAAAATTGTGTGCCACAAAAGAATACTCTAGGAGATATAAATAGATGAGGGGGAAAATAATTTCTGCTGTCCAATAAGTTTATCAAATGCTGAATACTGGATCCCCTTATTGCACATTCATAACATGTCTTAGCATATGAAAAGTTTTTCAAAGTCTTGCTCCATCCCGCCCCAAAAATATCTGCTTAACTTGGTTTCACCCACCATATCCCAAACTTATTTGACCTTATATGAATTTCTTACATGTGGGGTGTGTGTGTGTGTGTGTGTGTGTGTGTGTGTGTGTTGACATTGGTTAGCATTCACTATATTGAGAAACAGCCACAATCTATTTTAAATAGATTTTAAAGGCTATATGGAATGATGCTGTGAATTTAGGATTTCAAGCAGGCAAATATTCATGAGTAGATGGCAGGGTTCCAATCCTAGCATCCGAGAAGTCATTTTTTTCATGGAGGTGGAGGCTGGAAGCTTCCCAACCATCTTCCTCTTCTTTAAATCCCCTAACATCTTTTTTATGTATTTGGTTCATTTGCCTAATGTGGACATTTCAACAGGCTTCCCACTGTGGTTAATCCAGCCCATCCCTGAAGAGATGCTGATAAGAAAGTCTCCTTCCCAGGCAGTCCAGACACTGCAGTTTGCAGACTGAGTCTGGCTTATAGAAAAAAAAACAAAAAAACAGAGGTCTCTGGAAGCATTTCACCATAGCCCAAACTCAGCCCTGTCTTGTCTGGCCTCCCTTGACTGCCATCCATCTGGACATTATTTGTTTCTTTCTTAGTTTAATGCAAGTTGAGCATCCTTCCTCAGATTCATTGAGAAGTTTGGTTCTTGACATTAACCTACATCAATTTTTTAAATTAGCAATAGAATTTCTTAAATCAATCTTATCTACAAGCCACATTATTGACATGTATCTTATTGAAATGTGGGAGAAGGCACTGTAGGGGAGATGAATAAAAAAACACTGAAATGAGTATAGAGGCTGGTTCAGAGCTTGATATAATGTATAGCAAAGACACCAGCTGCCATAACTGGCATTTGGCGGATACTCAAAGGCAGGCAGAAGAGTGAGGAAGCCACGTAGTGGAAAAGAAAGGAAGGCTTCAGTCTGCTCCGTTGGGAGTTGGGTGGCCCTGGGAAGCTGGAGCAGACTAACTAGAAGAAGAGCATCTTATGTGATGAGCAAGGAGGGTGAATCTGGCTTCCTCTGGTTGGTCCTGAGTTCAAACTGGGGTAAGTGATGAGGGCAAAAATAGAGAAGTTGGCAGTCATTGATTGGTTCTTGATTGTTGTAGGTCAACTGAGGCAGACCCAGGGGCTAGAGTTCTGTTGTCCTTGTTATATAAAGTATATTTTGTGTCTCAGCCTGAAACTGGATTTCCAGCTTGGCTCTCTAGTACCCAAACCTCTATCCCTTGTTAGACTGATCACTCCACCGAGCCAGGGGCTCTGAAGAAAAGTTTGAAATTGTCAGGTCTGTGCAATGAGATGTGGCCCATTTCTTCTGGCCCACATCTCTGTTTTTTGTTTTGTTTTATTTGTTGTTCTCACAAACCAGAAGTATTTGATCTTTCTGGTGGAATCCAGAAAGGCATGCCTTGTTTACCCACTAACAACCAACATATGTGAACATATGTTGATCCATTAACAATTAATATATGGGTCTTGTTCATTCACTCATTTGACAGATGTGACTGAGCTACTATTTGCCCAGCCATCCAGGATGTCCAGGCCACCAAGACGGGTTCTTGGCCCTGGAGTTCTCACAGGTCAGATGGAGAGAGAGAAGAAAACAGCCAACACTTTCTATGTGCCAGGAATTCAGCTGCACATCTAGCAGGCTTTGGCTAGTGTGGTCTTCACAGCAAAATATCCATATTTTACAAAGGAGGAGATGGGCCTCAGGGACTTAGACAGCTTCTTGAAGTCACACATCTATTGAATTCTAAATTCCTTGTTCTTCCTTTATTTCTTTCTGAAGAAGTTATATCTATAAGCTACAACTCTTCATTAAAGAAATAATAATTGAATAGTTAGGATAGAAATACAGTTATGATGTAAAATTTCCAACAATACAAAAAGGAATGAAATACAGAAAAATATAGAATACAGGAAAAGTGAAGAGTCCCTGACATCTGCCCCAATAAATCACAGTTTCCCAAACAAAGCCGCAGTAAATGCCAATTTGGTGTGTATGCTTTAAACCTTTTGTGCATTTATATTCGTAAAGGTCAACATAGAAGTACAGTTTCATTTTTGTGGGAATTTAAATTTTCACACATGGTATTGCACTGTACACAAATGTCCTGAACTTGAATGGTTTTTCCCTAAATAAAATAGATTGAGAGATGCCCAGATCAGTCCATATAGATCTACCTTTTTGTTGTTGGTGGTGGTTTTTTGGTTTTTTTTAAAAACAACAGTTACCTATAACCTCTGGTACAAATGTGTTAATTATTACATAGTTCATAAATAGATTGTTTCTAGTTTTTTATTATTACAAATAAAGTTATGATGAACATCCTACATAAGCTGCCTTGTTGGACAAATATGCAAGCTTTTGTCCACAGTAGATGCCAAAAATGAATCATAGAGGATGAACATTTATCATTTCAGTAGACACTATCAGATTTTGTTCCAAAAGGCTTGCCAACTTAAATTCTCTCCCTGTGAAACAAGAGACTTTGTTCCTTGCTGACTCAATAGCCCTCAACATTATCAATCTTTAAGATGTTGCCAAAATGATTATCTTGTATTCATTTACATTTTCCCTATTACTTGTATATTAGGAATTTTTTCATATTGTAGTACTCCTTCTGTGAATGGCCCATTCACATTCTTGTTCATTTTTCTAATAATGTGTCTTTTAAAAATTGATTTTGTATATTTTATTTTATATTATAAAAATATAAAATTTTAAAGTATTTATAAAACATTTTATATATAAATATAAGTTGTTTATAATACATAATTTTAATTAAAACATTTATATTTTAAATTTATTTCTGTATAGCTCAGATAATAACAAACTTTTTATTATAAACTTCAAATATTTCTCTTCACCTCCCTTTTAATTTAGCTCATAGTTGTCTAATCATCCAAAAACTTAAGTTTTGATTTGACCAATGGTATCCATGTTTTCCCTATGGATTTTGATTTTTTTTTTAATCTTGGTCAAAAATTCTTCTACACTCAAGGTTATATACTCCCAAATTTAAAATATTTGTATAGATTTTTCAAATAAATTTAGGTCTTCAATCTTCCTGGCATTTAATTTTGTGAATGATTGGTATCTACCACAATAGGAAATGGATGGCATGTTCCAAATGAGGTGCCAAAGGAAAGCTGAGAAAGGGTCTATTTACAATGGTGTGGACAAAAGGGTAATGATGGAGGCCCATACCAACCAGGCCTGAAGGGGAATGGGGAGGGGATGCAGGGAACAGGGCGAAGACCACAGGAGCCATGAGCGGAGATCTTTGATTTAGGGAAACAGCTAATATGAGGCGACCACACTGAGGTCCCAATCCCACCCCCTTTCTCTGCTTGCTGTGGGTTCTCCCCTTTGGCCTGGCCCCAACCATGAGGATCATGGAGCACATTGACCCAGTCCATAGAGAGTATCCACTCAGGCAAAGACCAAGGTGTGGAGTGTGATGTCTGGAGGAGCAAACCCAAAACAACACCACAAATGGGAAATCTAAATCCATCTTGATCCAAAATGGATAATTGTCCCATCCATTTATCAGAGAATATATCCTTTCTCCAATGCTTTGAAATACTACAGTATCAAAAACAAAATTTTTATACAACTCTGTTCAGTTCTATTGGTCTTTTTCAAATCTCTTCTTCTATGAAACCTACACCATTTTATAGCAAAATGTTGTTTTGATAACAAGTCAGCTCACATTAATCTTTTAGTTCAAAATGTTCATGGTCACTCAAGCAGACTCATAATTCCGGGTTAATCATAGAATAAGTCTATTATGTTCAATAAGACCTTATATTGGAATTTTAAATGAATTGCACTGAATCAATAGTTGGAGGAAAAGTTGGCATTTCTAGCTTATGGTTTTCCAGTCAATAACGTGACATACCTCCTTTTTTTTTTTTTTTTTTTTTTTTTGTTCAGGTTTTTCTTTTGTTTCATAAAATTTTATGATTTTTTTTCATTTAGACTGTTCATTCTCATGAGGCTTCCCCCACCCCTGCCCCGTGGTTGATTTACAGTCTTGTTGCTTTCGTGAATGGGATCTTTTTTTCTCTTATGCTTTCTAAACACTGATGGTTTGTGTTTAGGAAAGCCATTGACTTTTGTCCATGACATTTTGATCCAGACAATGCTGAATCCCCTGGGATAGTTCTCATAGCTTGTTCTTTCATGCTTTGGGGATTGTAAATGT